ACCTGAGCTGCAGGCAGAGGGGGTCGGAGGGCCTGGGAGAGGCTTTCTGACCCGCAGCAGGGCCTCCCCCCGCCCCCCGACGTCACAGCTGCACCCTGTGATGCGGAGGGGCAGGCGCCATGGAAGGACGCTAGTTGCGATGCACTCGTCACATTTGGTATTTGTTTCCTCTCCCCTTCCCAGTCTCATTCCGCCTTTTTTGCAACAAACATCAAATTGTCAGGCTTCAATAGAAACCATTAATGTCTCGGGGCCTGGGGAGAACAATTAGCCATTAAAACTTAACTAACTGTGGACACAGCACACACACACAAAAGCATGCTCACACCAGGTCGAGTTGGGAAAATTCAAGCTCCCAGCCACCTGAGTGGGACCCGCAGGGACACGGCAGAGAGAGGTGGCAAAGATGTGAGCCCATGGGGACAGGAGAGGCACCCCTGACGGCCGCCATCGAGAGCCGTCCAGCCAGTCCTTCAGCTTACAGACGGGGAAACTGAGGCCCGGCGAGGTGAGCGCGACCTGCCTGTGCGGTGCGGACCAGCAGCTGAAGCCGCGCCTGGATGCACCCTGCCGGCCCCGTCACCAACAGCCCAGGCTTCTCCACCAGGCGTGAGGGCGGCACCCAGTCCCGGAGCCCCTTCTCCCCAGAAATGAATCAGAAGCGAGAAGGGAGAAGACGGGTGTGATCGCTCACCAGGGGCCAGGGACTCACCTCCTGGGCCAACAGCCCCCCAGGCCTGACCCGGGTCTGGGAATCACCACCTTCCTGGGGCCCACCGAGGGGTACTGAGGCACCAAAACAGCTCCCGAAGCTCCCCGGCCTCACACACACACGCTGTGAGCATCGCACACGGGAGGGAGGCCCACAGCGCCCCGCGCTCAGCTCCTCAGGTCTGCAGGGACCGGCCACTGAAACCCACGGCCTCCTCCACCGCCGCCCACTGGGAAGGCCGGCTGATGGCCACGGCTCCGGGGAGAGGGCGCAGAGAGAACACCTGGAAAACGGCGGGTCAGCGCTCACGGGCTTATCTGACTCTGTGCGTGTGTGTGTGCATGTACCTGCGTGTGCAGGTGAGTGTGCAGGCTATGTACACATGTGTGCACGTGGATGCAGGCTGTGTACATGTGTGGGCAGGTGTGTATGGACTACGTACACAGGTGTGCAGGCATATGTATGTGTGTACATGTGTGCCACTGTGTGTGGGGGGGCATATATATGTGTGTACCTGTGTGCCACTGTGTGTGTAGGCATATGTATGTGTGTACATGTGTACCACTTGTGTATAGGCATGTGTATGTGTGTACACGTGTGCCTGTGTGTACTGTGTACACGTGTGCGGGTGTGTGCACGTTGGTGTGTACATGTGTGTGTGGTGGACTGTGTACATGTGTGTGGTATACGTGTGGACTGTGTACATGTCTGCAGGTGCTTGTATGCATACGTGTGTCTGGTTGTCAGTCCTTCTGAGAGCGGGTGGCTGACAGTGCCCGCGAGTGACAAGGAGCAGGTGGAAGGAGGACGCGCTGTGAAGCGGAAGCTCAGAGGCCTAGCCAGCCTGCGGGCCCTGGAGGCTGCCGGCCCGGCCCCGGCCCCGGCCCCGCTGGAACAAGCCATTAGCAGGGGCGGCTGCGAGGAGAGCGAGCGTCTCCGCGGCACCATGAGCCATCGCTCCCGCGGCAGCAGCTCTGAGCCGGGAGCAGCAAGGCCTCCAGAGCCGAGGCGTCCACTCGGCCAGCGGATGAGCAAACATTAAGGGAGACGAGCAAACACAGGCCGCGCGCTGGGGACACACACGGGGGTCGGGTCCACGCCCGAGGCTGCGCTCCCTTCCTCCCTGCCCAGAGCGAGCCCGGGACGGCCCGGCGATGCACATGCTCCGGAAATCAACAGCCTGATGGGTGACAGCGCCACACAGGTCAGGTGGGCCGGGAGGCTGGTCAGGCGGCGTTCCCGCGGCACCGACCCACAGCCAGGGCCACGCCCACTGCTCAGTGCACGGGCCTCCAGGCCACCGCCCGAGGGCAAGGCCAAGCACAGCGCACCATCTCAGACCCTCCAACCATCCTCAGAGGCCTCTACAGACGCCCGAGAGGGAGGGGACCGGACCGAGGGCCCAGCCAGTGCCGTCTGGTCCTGACTCGCCCGCTCCCAGCATCATTCTGTCCTGAGCCCCTAAAGGCGTCTCAGCTGGCCACTGTCACTTCCAGAAGCACCAGCTGCCTCAAGACGTCGGGGACGGTGGGGGGGTGTCTGCGGGAGGGCAGGGCTCCACACTGGCCTCCTGCCTCGCTTCCCAGTGATGGCAGAGCCACGTGCTGACCGTGCCTGTCCCTGCCGACAGCTGCCCACCTGGCCAAGGGTGGGCGCAGCCGAACACAAGACTCCACCTCTGCCGTCAGCAGGACCGGACGGGACCCCCAGTTCCACTGTCGTTGTGGGACATGAGGGAGACCTGCCTTCTCTTTCCTTCCTTCCTCCTTCCCTGCCTCCCTCCCTTCCTTCCGTCCGTCCATCCGTCCCTGAAGGGCTCATGGGTGCCAAGAGCCCGCACACAGCGCAGGGAGCCCACGCTGAGCGCTGCCGGAGAGGGGGGGGACGGGGGGGGGGGAGACCGGAGCCGGGAGGACGTACGTGCACTCGGGTGAACGGGCTGCGCGGCCGCTTCGCGCTAAATGACCCCACGCCTGCCGGTCGCCCCGCCCTGCTCACGGCCAGGTTCGCTGCTTCAGAGGCTGGAGCCGGCAAATGTTTAATGAATAATAAATGGGAGCGTTAAGCCCTTCATCAGAGGCTGTGCGCCGCCCTCTCACTCAGACGCAGACACAGCCGCGGGGCCTTCCTCTCGGGTTAATTCTGCCCGAAATGGAGGCGACCGTGAGCCCAGGACCCGGCGGGTCCCTGGAGCAGGGCAGCCTGGCTGGGCCACGCAGGGGAGCAGCTGGGGCCTCCCCGGAAACGGGTCCCTGACCTGGTGGGGGGGCCCCCAGGATGTCCAGTCTCCCCAGGCCCGGAAAGGCGGCTGGGCCAGCCGGAGCCTCCTGGCCCACCGAGGGCCCCTCCCCGCTCCTCCCATGAGATCCGTGTCCAGGCAGACAGACAGGTGCCCTCGGTCCACAAGCCCCAGCCGTCGGCCAGGGACCTCAGGAAGGAGGGAGGGAGGGAGGGAGGGGAGGGGAGGGGAGGGAGGGAGGGAAGGAAGGAGGGAGGAAACCCAGGCCTACAAGGAAGGCGAGTCACATTCCTGTCCCTCAGCGAGGGTGGAACTGGGGGTCCAGTCAGGTCCCGCTGGTGGCGTGTCCTGCCGTGCCCCTGCCCTCTGCCAAGTGACAGCTGTTGGCAGGGTGGTCAGCTCCGCAGGCCTCACTCCAGGTCTAGTGACCGAAGCCCCTCTCCCGCCCCCATCCCTCCCTCCCACAGAATGAACGCCGGCACGGGGGGGGTGGTGGCCGGTGGCTTCTCTGGCGATGAGGCCACTCACCCAGTGCCTGGCTGCACCCTCGAGGGGCCACCTGCCTGCTGCCCCCCAAGGCCTATGCCAAGGGTCTCCCAGGAGCCCTGAGCGGCAGGGAGTGGGGGGGGTCCCACAGAGAGAACCGGCCACCACGGGGCTGCCCTCCCACGCGGCTGCTCCCTGCCCAGGCACTGCGGTTCGAGGAGAGAGCAGCAGAGCTTCCGTCCACCTGAAAGCAGATCCGTGGGGACTGAGGAGCTCTGACGGGCCAGGAACCCACGTGGCTCTGGTCCAGCTGCAGCAGCTGTGCCGGCAGACGCGCCCCTGGGCAGCGGGGAGGGGGGTACCTCCGAGTCCCGGGGGGGCCACCAGCGGACGTCGCTGAGTCAGAGACCCGGGTGGTTGCACAAAGCGACGGGCTCTTGAACAGGCCCGGGACCTCCTCTCTGGAGAATCTCAGGAAGAAAGAATACCGCCAGGCCCAGGTGGCTGATGGGAAAGTCCTGGCCTCGATGCCAACAGGACGCCTGGCAGCCCTTCAGTTCTCAGCATCTGTCTCTGCCCCTCGTAAACCATGCGCCGGCCACGGCCACTCCCTGAGCCCCGGCCCTGACCCTGGTCCTCAGATAAACAGCAATAAACCCTCCCAGAGTTCCCATCAGAGGTGGGGCCGCCCTCCAGGCCGTCCGGGAAGCGCGTCCCGCGGAGCCCGTGCCAGCGGCGGAGGGCAGGGCCGGCCTGGGGATCCTGCAGGCACTGGAGGGGACACGGGCCACCTGGGCCGCGGGCAGCGCCGCACCAGGTCAGCACTCAGCCCCGCACGCAGCCCCGGGCCACCCAGGGGCTGTCCTGGTCCTGACCCAGCGATTTACAGGGGTGACCTTGGCCCTGCGGTGCTACCTGGTGGCGTGTGGCACCCTGAACCCAGGCTCACCAGGAAGCGGGAATCAGCCTTTGGACGGCCCGGCCTCGGGTCCCCTCCCCGTGCCAGCCGGGCTCCCAGGACAGCTGCCAGCGAGACTTCCCCGAGGCATGGACCCAGGGGATCACCTCCGGGACCTTGGGGTTCAGGTGGTCACCCCCTCCTTGCCTCACACCTGCCGGAGCTGTTTCAGGGTCACTGCGAGGGCCCCTCCCACCCAGCGCCACCCCAGCCCGGTGCCATCCCCGCCGGCTCCTGAGGCGCGGGGCCCGGCAGCAGCCCTCTCTCCCTTGGAGAACGAAGACCCGGAGCAGGAAGTAAACTCTCGGGTCCCCCAGCCAGACAGGCAGGGCCAGGGCTCCCCCGGTCTGTCCTTGTCCACGCCCTGCGGTCCCTCCACCTCCTGGCCTCACCCCGAATGGTCTGAGGACGGCTGGCCTGCTGTCCCGGCCCCCGATTCGCCCCTCCTGTTGGCACACAGTCCCGCCTGCGCCTGCCGGACGGGACGGACAGCCCGCTCCGCGGCGTTGCAGGGCCGGCCCCGTCTGGTTACCTGGCCCCCCCGGCCGCCGAGCCGGCCCTCGGCCACCAACCTGGGGGACGGAGACGGGGAGGAGGCCACTCACCTTCCCGAAGTCTCGGACATCGAAGAGGTCGAAGGGGTCAAACAGCTCGCTGTTCCTCAGCCCGAACTTGTCATGGCAGACCTTGAGGAAGGTGCGGATGTTCTTCAAGCACAGGAACTGGGGAGAGAAGGGAAAGCGTGAGCCCTGGGGCCGACGACAGATTCCGCGGCCCCGGGGCCACCACAGTCCTGCTCAGGAGACGCACCGTGAACGCCCCACCGCCCAGAGTCACAGACGGCCCAGCCCTGGCCTCTCACAACCATATGCCCCCCCACCCCGCCCAAGGGGACGCAGCACATTTCAACCTGACAATCTGGACTGGAACAAAGATGCTGGCCTTGAGTGAGCAAGGATGGAGCGTGCACACGCACACACACACACGCATGCATGCCCGTGCTCACACACATACACGTGCACAGGTACACATCTGCACCTTCCTGGGCACAGACTGGCCACAGTTACTTTACAAGTGACAAAGCCAACAGCCGGGAAGCACCCCGTGAACAGAGCAGCACAGGCCCCAACAGTTGGGGCTGGAGCCAGCACACAGGCCAGAACCCCCAGATCAACACCCAGGCAGCTCCCCCCCTTCCCCCCACCTGTACCCCAGCACCTGGGCTCCCAGCCTGCACTGGGCATGGCTCCGCAATGGGGGAGGAGGCACGGGGGAGGGCTCGCCGGCTTGCAGCCCTGAGAGGAGGAGCTGGTGGGAACTTAGGGCGGCAGGCGAGGTGGCCGGAGCTCAGCCTGGTCACTGGCCCTGGTGGCACCGTCGCTGATCCTGACTTGGGGGACCGGGGGGAGTGGCTCGGCCCCCGAGACCTGTCTCCTAACACGAAGCCCCTCACTGGGTTAATTTTGTGCCCTAAGGGCATGGGTGGTGTTCAGTGTATGGGGGCCCCCGGCCCACCCCGTCCAGCTCGGCGTGGGTGCCCACGGGGCGAGACGGCCACACACAGCGGAGAACAACAGGGTCTCAGTCATCCTCCCCGGTAACCGCTCACTAGGCGCCCGATGGCTCCATGCCCAGAGCCGCAAAGAGCCCGCACCTGCTCCCCCGAATTCAGACCAATGGCCGGTTCAGGTGGACAGGCCAGATCGGAGCTCCGGCAGCCCCCCAAAACCAAGCTGCCTGAGGACGCCCTGCAGCACTCGCGCCCAGCCCAGCCCGACTCTCTGCCCACCCACCCACCTTCCAAGGCAGTGCCCCTGCCTCAGGCCACTCCTCCCGCCTGGGCTGGGCCCTGGTCACGTGGAGACTCACACTCTCTCCCTCTGTGTGTGGGGGGGGGAGGGGGTAGGCGGGGGGGGGGGGTTGTATTGTTTTTTCTGAACCTGTAAGAGAAAACTGCAGACTCGACCCCCCTTCACCCCAAACACCTGAATCCGAGTGTATTTCCTAAGAACAGGGCCCCCTCCACAGGCCAGCGCCCACGTCAAACCGGGAAATGAGCTGGGTCCCACCCGTGCTCACCGTCCCGCGCACTTGCTTTCATTTCTTCACCATAAAGGACAACCAAGGTGTCATCAGAGCACAGAGTAAAAACCGCGCCCGCGCCTGTAGCTGCCATGTCTGTCTCCGTGAACCTAACAGCGGCGCCCAGGGAACCTTCTGGAACAATGGGGATGCCCTCTGTCTGCCCGCTGAGCTCCTGAACTGCGGCCGCGCCAGCTGAAAAACGGCACCTTTACCTTCATTTCACTCTGATTCATTTAAACGGAGTACCTTCATGTGGGCCCAGCAGACCCCAGCCTCTCGCCCAATTCCTGGCATTGCAGACATGGGGACACGGGGACACACACTGTAGGTCCCACGTGTACGTGGCACCGGGGCAGGTAAATTCACAGACGGGAAGAGCGGCAGAGCGACGGTGCCAGAGCTGGGGGGGGGGGGGGGAGGGGGCGGGGGGGCTGGGCTTTCTGGTTGAGAAGATGAACAAGTTCTAGAGAGAACAGTGTGATGGTTACCTGACCCTGTGAACTGCTTCACTCTCTGGTTAAAATGGTAATAGTTGCGTTGTACAGATCTCACCGCGATAAAAACATTGATTTAAAAATAAGGGGCCCTAGCCAGTGCGGCTCCGTGGTCAGCGTGGTGGCCCACAGACTGAAGGGTCGCGGGTTCGATTCCCGGTCCAGGGCACATACGTCCGTTGCAAGCTCAATCCCCGACCCCAGTTGGGGAGCGTGCTGGAGGCAGCCAATTGATGTCTCTCTCTCAGTGATGTTTATTGATGTTTCTGTCCATCCCTCTCCCTTCCACTTTCTCTAAAAACCAATGGAAATAATATCCTCGGGTGAGGATTAACCAAATAAACACACACACACACACACACACACACACAAAGTAAGGGACACAGAGACACAGGCCCCAGGGAGGAGGCACTGTGACAACGGGGCAGAGACCAGGGTGCTGCCCCCAGGAGCTGAGAAAGGCGGGGGCGGCCAGGGAACGGCCGGGGCGAGGCGCGGACTCTCCCTCACAGCCCCGAGGGCCAGCCCTGCCCACACCGGGACCTTGGGCCTGCGGCCTGCGGAGCGGGAGGGGGACAGGAGACACTTTTGCGGCCTTATGCACCCCTCGGTCGGTGGGCCCCGGCTGGGGAGGGGCCGGGGAGGGGAGCGCCGGTCGCCCTCGCCCTGCCGGTCAGCCCCTCGGCCCCGCCCCTCCCGCCCGGACCTGCAGCTGCCGCGGCTCCGCTATTTTCTGCAAGCGCTCGCCTCTCATTTCCACTAGGCATTTATTTTCATTCCTCCTCGGCCTCCATTTTTAGAGTTAATTACACAGCGCCTCACCATAATCGCAGCCCGCACGCCAGGCTTCCTTTCGGGGCGCAGGGCAGGACGCAGCGTCGGCCCGGCCTGGCCCACTCCCTCCGTGGCCGCCGGGGCCCCTAACCTTCCAGAACCGCTGTGGTCGGCGCCCGCCGCCCAGGCCAGCCTCTGCAGGGCGCACAGACCCGCCAGCCTTCGGGGGAAGGGACACGGCGCGTCCGGGGGGAACCCAGACGCCAGGAGCCGGCTCCGCGCCCACGCGGCGTCCGATCACGGAGTTTCCTGGGCGCGGGGCGCTGGGCTGCAGCTCTGCCCGCCGACGCCGGGACACCGAGGCGCGGACAGTTCGGAGCGCTGGCTCCAGTGAGAAGGTGGCGGAGCTGAGGCTTGAACCCACGTGCTTTCGGGCGGTGCAGGCCCCTCGCGAGAACGGTCTCCGGGGGCCGTGAGCCGGGTCCCTGTCCTTGCACCTGTCCACGGCGTCCCCTCCGTCTCCTAAGTGGCTGGTTCTTTCATAAGTGATGTGGTCACTACCCTCACCGCAGTTAGGGACACTGAGGCCAGAGCTGGAGGGGGGCAGTTAGGGACACTGAGGCCCAGAGCTGGACGGGGCAGTGAGGGACACTGAGGCCAGAGCTGGAGGGGGCAGTTAGGGACACTTAGGCCAGAGCTGGAGGGGGCAGTTAGGGACACTGAGGCCAGAGCTGGAGGGGGCAGTTAGGGACACTTAGGCCAGAGCTGGAGGGGGCAGTTAGGGACACTGAGGCCCAGAGCTGGAGGGGGCAGTTAGGGACACTGAGGCCCAGAGCTGGAGGGGGCAGTTAGGGACACTGAGGCCCAGAGCTAGAGGGGGACAGTTAGGGACACTGAGGCCAGAGCTGGAGGGGGCAGTTAGGGACACTGAGGCCCAGAGCTAGAGGGGGACAGTTAGGGAAACTGAGGCCAGAAGGGATGGGTGCTGGTTCCAGGAGACCCTGCAGGAGGGACTGAGAGGACGCAGGTGGAAGCAGGTGGGGCACGTCACAGCCACAGGCTGAGTGACGGGGCGGGTAGGCCAGACCCTGGCCAGCGCCAGGCCAGAGCTGCCCATCTCGTCCTGTGGTCGGCAAAGGCCGGCCGGCCGGCAGCGTCCCTGCGGCTTCGGGGCAGCGGCGCCGTCCCTTTCCTTGGCCCGCAGGGCTCCCTACCAGGGCGGCCACGGCCTCGCCAGCGTCTGGAGGCCGATGCTGGGCCTCGGGAGCCGGGCTGTGGCCACAATGAGCGTCTGTCTCCAGAAAACTGGCCCCCTGCCCAGCGGCCCGGAGCTGAGCCAGACCCCCGGGCTTGTTTAGGGGCCTCCTGGGGCCTGGGCACCCACCTCGCCCCCAGCCCCCGCCCACAGGGAGGCCTTTCGCCCCTGGCCCCAAACAAGGCCCCGTTCAGGCCTGGCCGGGCGCCTGGGGCAGGCGGCGGTGCCGGACACGTCGGCCTCCTTGGCCCTAATGGCCTGAAATGAGATTAGCTGAGGACTCGGGCTCCGTGCCCAGCGCCCACCTCCCGGGGCTGCGGGCAGCACCGCCAGGCCTGCTGCTCTGTGTCAGCTGGTCATTCAGCTCTCAGGAGGCCCCGCGGGGAGCCTGCCGCCAAAGCTGGGACCCTGCGTCCCGGGGGCACGGGGGGGGGGGGGGGATTGTGGCCACATAGCGCCCGCCTACTGATCGGGAAGACACTGCCAGGGACAGCTCCCCCTCGCGAGGTGCCACAGGGGCCTGTCCCACCGAGGGGGCACCTCTGAGGCCCCCTCCCTGCCCAGGCAAGCGCCTCGGAGCGCACGGCCCCCAGCAGCTAATACACATGGGGAACCAGGGCCACCCTTCGCCCCACGCTACCTCACGCACCCCAGCACGGACAGGCAGCTGCAAAATGGGAAACTGAGGCAAAGAGAGGAGAAGCCACTGGCCTGAAGTCACACCCTCCACTTTCCAGCCCAGACCCGTAGATGGGAAGCCTGGTGGTGAGAGCCCTGGCCTGGCCCTGGGCTGTGCCTGATCCAACTCTCCATGCCTCAGTTTTTCCATCTGTAAAATGGGGGAAGAAACCTCTGCCCTCTGACTTCCGGGATGCTGGGAGACACCTGCTTTTTATTTTTTTTAATATATTTTATTGATTTTTTACAGAGAGGAAGGGAGAGGGATAGAGAGTTAGAAACATCGATGAGAGAGAAACATCGATCAGCTGCCTCCTGCACACTCCCCACTGGGGATGTGCCCACAACCAAGGTACATGCCCTTGTCCGGAATCGAACCCGGGACCCTTGAGTCCGCAGGCCGACACTCTATCCGCTGAGCCAAACCGGTTAGGGC